AGGCAAGGCAAGGCAAGGCAAGGCAAGGCAAGGCAAGGCAAGGCAAGGCAAGGCAAGGCAAGGCAAGGCAACAAACATACAGGCTGTAAACATCACAATGATCAGACAGGGAACTGAAGACAAGACACAGAATATAAAGATGAGACTAACAAGCACAAACAGGAAACACCTGGGAGAGAAACATGAGGAGCAGGTGAGAGTGGGCRGGGCTGGAGCAAAGGCAAACAGGAGGAAGAAAACAGATGACAAGACAGAAACTTAAATAAAACATTAACACAGACACAAATCATAACATACTGTATAAAAAGACTGGTTGATGACATGTTTTGTACAATAATTTTTATGTAATGCTGTGTCGCATTGGATTGTTGCCACAGGATGAAATGATTCAAGTTTATAATGGTAAGAACAAAGGGATTGATTTTATAAAACAAGATAGATTCATTTAGGTCTAGTTAGAATTCAAGACATATCCCAGTCCTTCACCAGCTCAGCTCACACTAATGACTGCTAGTGAGAGCTGAAAAGCGATGCAAACTCAGCTTTTAGACAAAAGGGAATCAGTGTGAACGAACCCTTTAAGAATTCATGCTTATTCCTGCTGAAACTCATTTTTCAGAAAAAAAAAAACCCGAGGCCTTCATCTGCTCCACACTTGGAGCCTGAAAACATCATTTGCGCAGTCTCTTTGACACATACCTTACGGCCTGCCAGCGGAACAGGCTGGGGGGTCCAGAGCCGTTTGAGGCCCGCATGATAACTGACCCGAGAAACACAAGGGAGCTGACCCCAGAGAAGGAGCTCCCCACCTGCTGAAGATATGAATGAAAGGGCAAAAGTTCAGACAGATACAGCAGTAACACATGCATTGTCACCAAGACGTAACCAAGAAAAGTACAATTAACTCTCAAGAATGAAATGGTATCATTTTAAGGGGTAGTTGAGAACTTTGAAGCAGTGTTCAGCAGAAAGGTAATGAACAATGAACATCTTACCTGCTGCAGACAATCTTTTAAACAAAGTTTTACCCATTTTTAAAACTTCCTAATGCATGTCATTAACCCTTCCACCTTGTTTTTTCCTGTTCTTCTCAAAGCTTTGTTGGTATTTTGCTGGGATGCTCACCTTTTACAAACTCAAGGACTGGAAAGAAAGCAAATACATTTTCACCGGGCTCTGGTGCAAAGAATCTGCTGCAAAGAAACAAATGCCTCAATCACCAAGAGTCAGATGGTAATAAAAACTACATTATGATCATTTAGTTTCATTATTAAAAAATAAATAAAATTGACACAGAACAGTGGACTGGGATGGTAATCTTTTCCACTTGGCAACTACAAATTGGGAGAAAACACATTCTCATTTGGCACATATCAAAAGCACACTCTGTATGCACACACAGACTGTAAACACTCAAGCATCCTGTCATTCATGCTACCTCAGTCTGGCTTTTTAAACCCACCACTAATAAATTTATATTTACTGCCTGCGTTGAGGACTTTTAAATTATAGCGTACAATAAACCTGGCACACACATCTCAAAAGCTCTTTCAGGGAATGTTAAAGCAATACAGCAAGCAATTTTCCAAAGTGGATTACAAATTTCACATCCAGGTTTTATTGCACATTACGATAACTTAACCACATCTAAATGTAACACATAAATGGGAAATATGTGCTGCTTAATATGCTATTTTTCATTTTTTAAGAAGCGCTTTGCGAAACCCTGCCAAGCAAGGCAGCATGCTGGTTTGTGTGGTGAGGGAGTCAATAATCTTTATGAGGTGGATTTTAATTACAAGGAGATAACTGAGTATCCTCCTCACGGCAAGCCTCCATCAATCTCTATTCTGCATCAAGCTTTACGTAGCCTTGGCTCACACACACACACACACACTGACACACACACACATTGGCAAATACCCTTTCAGACATGATTGATCAATCAATCAGGAATGTATTATTTTCATCTCGGTGAAGCAAACCTTATAAAAGCGTGTGAGACAGGCAATGCTGGATGGAATTTTACCATGCAGACAAACACATGTGTTCCATTGCTAACCCATGTACACACACACACACACACACACACACACACACACACACACACACACACACAGGTGCGTACACACATATATGCACATGCAGAAGTGCTGGCAGAGTAATCCAGCTAAAAAAGGTTAAGGCTGATGTTTTCCCTGAGAACGACAGTCTGTGAAAGGTCAGATCAATCACGTGCTAAGCATGTCTCGTAAGCAATCCATAAAGCGCTTGTTTTAAATAATAACATTTTATAGATCACTTAAAGACATCACTGTACCACAGGCAGGTATAGGGTCTCACTCGGCACACAGTCTTGAATGCACCAAGAATTCGAATGGAACAAATGTAATATGTTTTTTTTCCCCTGCACTTCATTTAATGAACCGCTGACATTTGTAGTGAAACCATGCACACAGAAGCCGACGTCTCTGCTGAACAATAAACAATTCTCTTTTAACAGAATATTGCTATGAATGAATAGGCTGTAAATGTCCTATAGTCCTAAAACACATACAGTGCTATTTTTATTTTGTATATGGGCTGCGTTTCTGTGTAACCACCCTAATTCCAGCTGTCTGTCAGAGAACAAACAGCAGCTGAAGGAGAAACGCTTGCCTGACACTTTGCAAAGGACGCAAATGTGTTAGAACTTATTTTGTGGCACTTCAACGACTCGTGTAAAGGGAGCTGAGTAAGACTGCTGAAAATCATCAAAGTTAGAGAATAAAGTCAGAAAGCTTAGTAAGGAACCGTCTAACACTAAATGGTTTCCAACCTAGCAAAAAGGGCTCAGAGTTTTGCTTTTTAGGAATCACAGAAAAGACAGCCAGGCATATGGGAAAGATTATAAAAAAAGATGATGTACTTTTTAATCACTAAGTCATAATAAGAATAAATGTAGCTACAAGGATAGCCTGAGATCCTAGCAGGGCAGTTTAGGGATAGCTGGTTGAACAACAAATCAATTCATTAGGCACATGATCTGAAACATAAAACTAAAACTGGGTGCACTGATCCACACTTACATTTGGCTGAAAAGATACTGAGAGCTAATGAGGTTGAATTTGTGCTCCGAGTTATGTCATTTGAGGACACTGAATCCTTGTTGTGTTAATTAAAACTCAATGAAATGATGTAGATGAAAAATTTGCATGGCTAACAGCCACAGCGACGGATACTACTGGGAAAATCTGAGTTTCAAGTTAATAAGTTGTTTTGTATAAAGTACGAAGAGTGGATCTGAAGAACTTTTCCATCTCAATAACATTTATTTGTAGTAACAGTTAGATGTTTAAAGGTGTGAATTATTTTACAGGTTTTACAGTGATTTATTGTTTTGCTTTAGTTGCAGATAGCATAGATCTAATGCATTATGTATTTAGTCTTGTCAACTTTAAATGAGGCAATAAAAAGACTGTACTTGCTTTGCAAAGGCAGGGCTGCAGAAAATCATTAATTGAACTGTTTGTTGTTTTTTCACAGCTTAGACATCTTACAAGAGAAAATGTGGTGAACTCTGAAATCCATCCAAAAAGGGACAATTATGACACTGCACTGTTCTACACTTTAATACAAAACTAATAAATAAATAAATTAATTATTTAAAGGGGGTGGTAATATGTAAAATCTACTTTTTTGAGCTTTACATCATGTTATAATGTCATTACTTCATCAAAAAATATACCCAACCTGTTCCTTTGACTTATTCACACATGTTTGAGAAATCCTTGACTCTCCTGTAGTGGCCATGTGGAGCTGCCTAACCATCTATTTGTACATAGCTCCACCCCGGAATTCAGTCTGGAGCCAAGATCCTTCCCCACAGAGCACCCTGCTCCTGAAGCATTGTTGTGAAGATGTGCTGCAGTGGGAGTGCCAGAAATGGTAGGATGACCAAATTGAAAGCATTTAGATAGAGTATGATGCAAAGTCAATTTTAGTTTTTTTATATTTTGTAAACAGTATTTTATTAAAAACTGAAGGTAACATAGTTACTTGATTGTGATTTAAAATTGAACTATGAGCCTGGAAAATACATAGCCCCCGCCCCCTTTTAAAAATAAAGGTACAAAATGTTTGATCCATTTTCTTTCAATTCTTAATGCCAGAACATCATTTCAGTATTGTAACAAGTAATTGTAATATTACATTATCAGTTTTAATGTTCTTTTTCTAACTAACACAAACTTTTGTTTGATAACAAATAACACAGTTATGATACTATCTAAATGTTTATGTTTTATTTATCACCCCTATTCACCCAAGGTTGTTTTACCCTGTAGCCTTTATTACAGTATAGCATTACAGAACATGTTTGTTTTTCTCTCTGTTACAAATGAAGCACATGTTCAATCTAACTTCTTTCAGCTGTCCTGTTCCCCTTGTTTCCTGCTCGCTTCTGCAGAAAGATAAAGGGGTTCTGCACTGTGCACATCAACATGCCCTGACATATGTTAGAAATTTAGCACAATATGTGTGAGTTTACATTTGAGTGTATGTGTGTGGCATGCAGTAATCTGACTTTTTAATTGCATGTTCGTATGTGTGCTACTGTGAGGATTTGTAGACGGGTGGCAGCATATGTTCCTGCTGTGAGCGCATGCATCTAAGTATTTAAAGCGCGGGTGTCAGAGCTTTCATCGCAGAGGGAGAGTCTGGGTAGATTTACATGCATTTAGGTTTACTGAGTTTGTATACCTGAGTTTGTGTTTGTGTTTTAGCATGTGTTTGTATTTGTATATGTGTATATTTGTGTGTGTGTGTGCCACTGAATGAACGCTGTCAGGTGCTGCTCCATGCTGTGCCAGCTGCATCTGGAGCCATCTGTGTTGCGGCTCAGTGGGAGTGGAGCGGATGACTTTAATGTACTTGAACTCCAGACAGACCTTTCCCAGACAGTTGTCAGTATGAAACCTAGACAACTGGGCCCAGTCAAGCTGAACCAGCTGATCTGGGTGGTGAGCAGAAGACAGATGCTTTGGTTACACTGTAACCTCCGGTCAGACTCACTGGGGAGTCCTTGGCAATCAGATGCACGCAAACACTAGAATCTGTTTGTTTTAATGACACAGTGGTACTGTAAGAAAATACTATCTTCTGGGCTTGCTTCTGCTGTTGCACTGTAGAATTTAAGTTGACTTCTTTTTCATCACTTTATACTTTTACAAGTTTGTAAAAGTATAAAGTATCAGAATGAGAAAAAGAGAAAATGAGAATCAGAAGAGTTTTCGCTTTAGAGGTCAATGTTTCCTTAACTCAAGCCACAAAGAAGACAAGGCTTTGTTTGAAAAATGCTCAGAGGATTTGGTTTTGATTTTCCTTTTTTTCTGATTTATGTGGTTCCATCTGATGGGATATTACAGAAACACAAAAAACAAGCAAACACTTTGAGAACCAGCAGTATTTTTAGATGTGGTTTAGACAACAAGAACAGAGCTGGTTTGCAAGCGAGTTTTGCTGCAGAACAAGAACGCATAGATATTATGAGGGGAAAAAAGAACCAGGGTGATTAGTGATAACCCTTACAATAAAACCACAAGAACTTCCCATGCAAAAAATAAATAAATAAATAAATAAATCACATTTCTCATGGAAAAACATGGGAAAATAAGATGCAACATTACTGCAACATGTTTTACACACATTTCTTGTGTTGGTACACAAAGTTCACATTTGTAAAACCACATAGGTAATAATTTATTACATGAAATACATGTTTTACACATTATCTTGTGTAATTTTGGAAACAGACAAAAGAACATGAATCTCACATGTAGAAAAATACATAATTTTATCTGTGGAAACATTGATTAAACATGTGAAACACATATTTTGCACTTTTTTGTGTGATTTTGAAACATTTTTGATGAGATCTCATGCAGTTACATAGTTTTCCACAAAAGATCACGTGAAAAAAGCATGGTGAATTTATGTTTTTTTTTTCTGTGATGTATTTGTACTTTTCTAATTGATTAAATCATCAGTGTTTTTGTAGCAGGACTCCACAATTCTTTAAAGTAGTCACATTAAAATTAGTTTTTTTACCCAAATGGATCCTCATTTGAATCTATTAAGTTTCTCCCATAATCTTATATACAACAACATAATAAAAACAGGGATATACCTATCGATAACCACTTTCAACACTTCACCCACAGGACTACGGATGACACAGCACATCAACACACAGGACTAAAGTACAAAAACAATGCAGAGGCCAAATAATGGTTTTGCAGCAACAATATGATTAGTGAAGCACAAAATCAATTAATGCAGCAACAGAATCAATAGGTGTCTCTGAGCATATATGTCTTGCAGTTAATTAATAAACAAAAAAAGGCATTAAGCTGCAGAGCATCAGACTGTGGCAACGACTGTCATCAGTCACAATGTGTGTACTGATGGCATCAGCAGGAAGGGAAAGGAAGAAAAAACACAGACAGATACAAATGTGAGCATGGTGAAAATACTAAACACACCCTCAGGCAAGACGCTGCACACCCACATTATAGAGAAAGAGTGTTTAAGCACAAAGTTGTACTCAAAAACATGCACAACACATGCAGGAAAGACTTCTCATCTGAAACTTCTATTCTCTGAAAGACCATAGTATGTGTAACACTTAGTTAACCACCGCACCCCAACCATATTAGCACCAATTTGGAACTGGCCCAAAGTTCGATGAGGCTTGAACTCTGTTGGAACCAGGCCCAGGGTTTCCAGCACCATCAGGCTAGCCCCCGTTTGCATTTACCAAGGCTGGTCAGCCATCCTTACAGATATAACTGCAAATAGCTGGACAGATAAAGGCTTGTTCTTTATACTACAGTGGACTTGTGCTGGGTTGGATGTTGCAGTCCCAAATAAAATCTTATGAAGAGTGAAGAAAACAAAATTCTGGAAGTGTTTTCAAATAATAATAAAAAAGCATTCTGCAGTGATATCCCACATTACACTGGGTTGAGTCTTTTCATTGCTCTATAAGTCGTATTTAAATAGTTGAGCCTCTATTAAACAATTTTAGATGAAAGTTGCTCTTGATTTGGAATGAATGACAATGAAATTCAAGGCATGCCCTTAGACTGCAAATGTTCTGTATTTGACTTGAAAAAAGTTTTAAGCATCAACTACAGTGACCTTCTGGTTAATTCAATAATGTAATGTTAACAAACTATGATAACTCTTCATTTACAACCCTTTTTTCATAATCAGTGTTATTTAGATAAAGAGTGGCTGAATGTAAAAGTGATTATCTCCTTCACAAAAAAATAAAAAAAAGAAAAGAAAAGAAAAAAATACCATTAGCTTTCACCGTATCAGCTCGGGCTATGCCACATGCTCTCTGACATCATTCAAATACCTTCTCACCCCAATCATGTGATACAACTCAGGCTGTCAGTCTTTTAGTCTCAATAGAAGGAAAACAATAAGATTTCTATCTGTAATAGTATTACCAGCCATAATAGGTTCAGCTCTGGCCAGGTTTAACTTAGTGAGGCAATAGAGAACTTTATTAAGTTTAAGACCTTTTGTTTTTCTTCTTTCTCTGCTGCCACTGATACACAAGAGCCCCTAAGCCCAAGAGAGGAAGGTATCAGCCTAGTTAAAAAAGGGCACTTTTTTTTTTAGAAAAAAAAAACATTATCTTTCAGGATGTGGAACCTTTCTTCATTTTTTACATGTTTACAGGAGTGGTTTTGGTGTGGCACTGTGCAACTGATTAAAGAAGGGAGTCTTAATCAGCTGGTGCAGTCTGTATGGGGGCCCCTGGGGCCGAGAGTGTTCTACATCCTGTCAGACTCCACAGAGAAACAATCAATCATCAGAATGGCTCCAAGACAGGAGAGAAAAGAAGGAAGATAGGAGAAATGAAGGAAGAGTAGGGGACAAAAATGGTTGCAAAACAATGACTGAAGCAAAAAAAAAGAGAGAGAAAGAGTGAGAAATGAGACAAGATAGGAAAAAAGAACATGATGCGAGGAAAGAAGATGAGATTTTACCTGTGCAGTAATTAAGTTTTAAACATGCTTACAAAAAACTAATGAGTCAGGCTGAGAATGATCTTGCAGAATGTAGTGTGGAACCATGTCAAAGTCTATAACATCTGTTGTCTAACATTTTCATTGCTTGTTCCAGTAACCTTCCTCCACAACTTCTATTACCTTAATAAAGCCATTGCCTCGTCACATTGTAAAAGGGATCAAACTTTGGCCATGCCTTCAAAAAAACCCTGCAGATAAACCCTTAATGTTGAGGGAAAGGAGATCAGAGAGAGATGAGGGGGGAAAATAGGCTCTAGCTTTTGCACTGGGTTCTCTGTAGAGATGCAGCCAGCACAATCCTCAGTGATAGGTAGGACTCTTTATCTATCAGGATGAGAAACAAGGTAGGGACAAACACACACATACACACACACACACATGCACACATGAAG